TAAACTATGTTGATGGACATAGACTACCTTGTTGGTTAATAACCCCAACTGTAATCACTGGCTAGAGACGTCGGATGACATGGTTCAGAACTATTTACAATGACATAGATGCATTCCACTACTCATTTTCCTCTCGATCTTGAATTTCAGTATCCTTTCAGATATACGTTTTCCCACTCTGTCCTTTTAAACCATATTCCTAAGGTTAAGTCCCGACCGTTGTTGCTACCTTGACGTGGTGGTCGGGCTTGCCTATCGTGATGAAGCAACCGAGCTATACTGGCTGGAACAACCGTTCCTCAAGGTCCTACCATGTCAGACAGGTCGGTTGAAGAGCGGTAAGACTAAAAGCAACAAACCCAAGGTCCGAAGGCGAAGTCGTACTGCTGACTGTACAGAGGTGTGACAGCAGTAAGGTGTTTCCTTCAGACAACCAGCATGACAGCGATGCTGCCTTCCCACAAGGAGGGGTGGGGTTAGAAAAGGTCGACCCTAAAAATGCACACCTCACCTTACCTCACGGATTTCCGTCTCCGGCGGTAAGGCCCTTTGAAGAACGGAGCTAACACGTCGAAAACCTTCCACGAAAAGGCCGTGCGCGACCGGCCTCAAGCAGTTGTCCCTTGGGCACTGCGGTCACGCTCTCAGGTCACTGAGACCACCTCTAATCCAATTTCCTTTTCAGGTACCTCCAGAACAACCCTTCCACGGTGTGGGCAACCGGGAAGTGATAACCGCCCTCATACCTCTAACAGCACGCAAGACCACTGTATTCATAATCAACCTTCCTCTTCAATTCCTATTATTCCTCCTACATCGACTTTCAACCCCAAACTTCCTCCTTTGGCTTCCTCCTCAAGTGTCACCATAGCCAACGATTCTAGTGCTCAAAACTCTGTCACAGGTCTACTGAAACCTCGCTCCAAACTACACATTGGAGCTTTCAACGTACGCACTCTATGTCAAATCGGTCAACAGGCTTCCTTGGCTAAAACCCTAGAGTCTCTTACCATTGATGTATGCTGTGTCTCTGAAACACGCATACAGGATCCCAGTGTGGTCATTCACTTGACCTCACCTCGGCAAAACGGAGAGCCAACGAGATACACCCTTCGTGTATCTGGTGACCCGATGGCCAGTTCTCGTGGACTGGCAGGTGTAGGCATAGCACTAAGCATGAGGGCCGAACAAGCACTGCTAGAGTGGATCCCCGTCAACAGTCGTCTATGTGCTGTTCGGCTGAACGGCTACGTAAGAACTCGGAAGGATAGGGACACACGTCGTTGCCTTTTTGTCGTTTCTGCCTACGCTCCCACTGACTGCAGCTCAGATGAAGTGAAAGATGAATTTTACAGAAAGCTGTCCGAACTTCTTCAGAAAGCTAAACGCTCAGACATAGTACTCGTAGCAGGTGATTTTAATGCTCAGATAGGTAGCTTAAACCAAACAGAAAGGCATTTAGGTGGATATTTTAGTATTCCGACACAGCGAACAGATAATGGTGATCGTCTGCTGCAGCTATGCTCAGACAATCGTTTATTTTTAGCAAACACAAATTTTAAGCATAAGGAGAGACATCGTCTAACATGGCGACCCCCTACACCAAACCAACGATGGACTCAAATAGACCATATTGCCATCAGTCATCGTTGGAGAGGGTCGGTAGAAGATTGTCGCTCATTCTGGAGTACCTGCTTGGACTCCGACCATGCCCTAATACGGGCACGCATCTGCTTGCGCCTCACTGGACGCAAAAAAGCCACATTAAAAAGACCCGTTAGAACTGAGTTGAGTAACGAGAAAACCAAAAGTAGGTTCCAGGAACAACTGAGGTCACACTTAGGTAGTTGTGAAAACGAGGCTGACCCAGATGTTGCTTGGAAGGGCATACAATCAGCTGTGGAAACAGCAGTGACATCTATTAGTGACTTAAACCACAGGGTTGCAAGGAACCAGTGGATTTCTTCAAGGTCTGTCACACTGATGGATTCTCGCAAACTCGTCCCATCAGGTTCTGAACATGATGAAGAGCGAAAACAAATCAGATCTAGGTTAAGAAAAAGTCTAAGGAACGACTGTGAGCAGTGGTGGGTAACGAAAGCAAAAGAGATGGAAAAGGCGGCGACTATAAGGAACACAAGACAGCTTTACAGACTAATAAAAGAAACTGGAATTAATAAATCAAGTGTAAGTGAGATTATTTCGGAAAAAGATAATACTCTCATCTGCTCCCAGTCCAGACGTTTAGAACGATGGGCGGAACATTTTAGAGAACAGTTCAGCTGGCCTTCAGCTACTCTACAACTACCCTCCATTCCCAGACAATGTGAATGGAACATTGAAGTAGGTCCCCCAACTCTTGCTGAAGTTCAAAAAGCTATAGTTAATCTGAAACGAGGAAGGGCAGCTGGTCCAGATGGATTGGCTCCAGAGGTCTTTAAGGATGGTGGTCCAATTTTAGCGATTAGGTTGACTAATATTTTAGCTAAGATCTGGGAATTAGACTTTATCCCATCTGACTGGTCGCAATCACTTATCGTCCCAATATATAAGAAAGGGTCAAAATCATCCTGTGACAACCACAGGGGGATTAGTTTAACAAACATAGTATCTAAAATACTGGCCTCGATAATTATCAGACGTCTAACTAAGACTCGTGAACTACAAACTCGAGAGAACCAAGCTGGCTTTAGACCTGGTCGTGGCTGCATCGACCACATATTCACCATTCGTCAGGTTCTAGAACACAGGCATACCTATCGGCGTCCGACGATGGTGGTCTTTCTTGACTTAAAAGCAGCGTTTGACTCTGTAGACCGCGAGACTCTGTGGCAGTGTCTGTCATTGAAAGGCGTACCTCAGAAGTACATAAACCTTGTGAAGGCTCTTTACTCGAACACTACTAGTCGAGTCAGGGCTTATGGCGAACTGTCATCTACTTTTGCAACTTCAAGTGGTGTCCGTCAAGGCTGTCCACTTTCTCCATTTTTGTTTAACTTCATCATAGACCTATTGATGGAAATAACACTCTCGTCGACTGAATTCTCGGGTATTGATCTCCTTCCAGGAAGTCCACTTATCGACTTAGAATACGCAGATGACATAGTCCTGTTTGGTGAAGACACTGACAAAATGCAGAGTCTTCTGGTAGCACTAAGCAACAATGCCAGAATGTTTGGGATGCGCTTCTCTCCCTCTAAATGCAAGTTGTTACTTCAGGACTGGTCTGCATCAACACCTAAACTAAGGATAGGGAGTGAAGTAGTCGAACGCGTTGACAACTTCACTTATCTTGGAAGTCTGATCAGCCCTAATGGGTTGGTGTCTGACGAAATCTCAGCACGGATTCGAAAAGCTCGCTTGGCTTTTGCCAACTTACGTCACCTTTGGCGGAGGCGAGATATCCGTCTATCAATTAAAGGACGAGTATACTGCGCGGCAGTCCGTTCTGTCTTACTTTACGGCAGCGAAACATGGCCTTTAAGAGTAGAAGACACCCGTAAGCTACTAGTATTTGACCACAGATGCCTTAGAAATATTGCTGGCGTCTGCTGGGATCACCGGGTAAGTAATAGTGAGGTTAGACGCAGGGTATTAGGGAATGATGGTAAATCTGTTGATGAGGTTGTGAATCTTCGTTGACTGAGATGGTTGGGCCACGTGTTACGTATGCCTGAACACCGATTACCACGATGTGCAGTGCTAACCGGTGTAGGGGATGGTTGGAAGAAGGTTAGGGGCGGCAAAACCAAAACGTGGCATCAGTTCTTGAAGACACTAACTTCTAGTCTGAGCCATGTTGGTAGATGCAGACTACCTGGTTGGGGTCCGCGTGACTATCGTAACCAATGGTAAGATACTCTTGGTGACATGGTTCAGAATCGATCACAATCGCGTGGGTGTATATACTCTCTGTCTTCCCTTAAACTATGAGATTAAAATCGCTTCATATCTTTCTTTCTACGAACTAATTCTTTCTTCCTATACTATATCCTTATTGCAACCTTTGACCTAACTACTCCTATGAATCCGGTGTTCATCTTGTTGTGCTAATGAGGTATGGCAACCTGGACCGATGCACATATGTGCCTGGTCCTACGTTGTAGCTGACTGACTGACTGACTGACCTAAGGTTAAGTCCTTCTTTTTATGATTGCTACTACACTATTTTGATCGCTTGTTATTCTCAGCAGATCGTGCCAGTTACGTATGGCAACTTGGGCTAACGCACATTTGTGCCGAGCTATATGTTGACGATGTTTAAGATTTTTTCCTAAAAAGCATACTTGTAAGGGGAATAGTCTGCAAGAGTGATGAGACAAAAAGTTACATACGTAAAATTCGAAGCCAAATTCATATCAGTATATTAACTGGTGTACATACTGTAATGATGCAGAAGTAAAACGTTCTCTACGGATAACTAGCTTCCCTGGAGATTCCGTCTTTTTTAAAAAAATTAAGGAAGGTATGAATAGTTGGCTCTAAAAATACGATACCCTTTATTGGTTTGTGGATTTTAAATACAAGGGGTTTGAAAAGTACAGAGGTGATTATAATAAAATAACTACTAAAATGCACTGTATATGACGGGACTTCAGTAACTGTTCTTTGATATCTATGACCATGCTCGGATCAAAACGATCATCAATACCGATCCAGTTATCCATTTTGCGCTCGTTAAGAATAAACGTCTATCCATGGTGTCGGTAACTGAGATATGTGATCCATCACTGCACTTTAAATCTCTTAAACAAGGTGAAATAGGTGAGACGGTTATCAAAACTATGGTTAAGTGGTTCAAACCCACCATCCCACTGTGTGTAGCTTATAATGCCAGCAAACAAATTCCTCGATAACGCTACATACATTTATCAACCGACAATTTGGTGTATTACAAATGGTGAATCCTTAATTAATTACAATAGGTGTCCGCAGATGAAACACTGTTCTTAAATATGTGCATGTGATGCAAAGTAAACGATAAATTTGATTTAACTTACCGATGGATATGATGTGCTAACATACAAAGAATACGTGTGTGTATAGTTCTCTATAGATGGAAGTAAAGGACACACTGGACTGACAAAGTTGCATAATTCTGAGTTGTCAAGTGGAAATGGTACTGGTACATGTGCAATCACTCCATGTGCAGAAATATGACCATCTTTTACAGTCTCTTCTGTAATTAAGAGAGAAATAGTAGTATAGTACAAAAGTGGTAAACTTGAATGTTTTTACTTTGGATGTATTCAGATTAGGTAAATTAATAAATTAGCCATTAAAGTGAACTAGTCACAAGTCTGAATTCAAAACATAACATCGTAATGATATAAAATGGATTTATTTATTAATCTGTGAAGTTGATAATTTATATTCTTCATTTGCAACTGCCATAATTGGTTTGAGGACTGTAGTCTTTAAGGTGGAATTGTGATACCTACTTGTTATGTTGTGTTATTCGATTGTTTTACTTATCCATACATTTATGGGATAATACTTGATAGTATTTCACTCATTTTCATATCCCCTAGACGTTCTAAGTATTTGTTACCCAAAGCAGTCATTGAGAATACAAGCGGGGGGAGGTCAATTTGTTATCTGAGTAAAAGTGATTCCGATATGATCCCTGCACTGTGCTGTTACTTATTAAACAAAAAAATGTAAGCTAAGAATGTTGTAAACTTACATATTGTAGTAGGGATCATAAATCTACGTACAAAATTTTTCTTACACTATATCCTACACAAATCTTTCCAGGCATTGTCCACTTTCTCTTCATATTCAGATAATACAAATTTTGTGAGTTTCCTTTCAAGGGATTAGTGATTTATATATGTTCACTGATATGATTGGTAAATGATATAGCTCGACAATATATGTAACATACATCTATCCCTGGAGTGGTCGTGAATAGGAATGACATACATATTTTCATGTATTACAACATGAACACACTTCACAATGAATAATTTGAACACGACTTTTGAATATGATTGGTCGATTGCTTAATACAGAGCTGTTTTATTGACCTTCGATAACTTTGAAGAAACTAGGACTAGAATGGCCAAAGTAGTATTGGGATTATTGTATTTGTAATCGCTGAAGTTTCATCTTTAAAATCAACTGTTATAATCTACGCTTAAGTTTGCTACAACTCATTTAGAGTTTGACATGAGTCGGTATGAACATCCTTTTTTGGCTCATACTTTCAGTAGGCTTTCAATAATTTCCGTGCATATAAAGCGACCCAAGTTCAGAAATTGATTTATCCATTCAACCAGTTTCAGTTACTAGATAATCATTAAATCTATGTTGTGTACTCTAAAACGACCAACATATTAGAAGTGATACGAAATTGTTGAATGAAAGGCATTAAACATGTAATTAAATAACTTACGGGTACTGAATTCAATTGTAACAGTGGCGTTTCGACCTTTATATAACGCACACGGTATCCTGTCACATGGTGTTACAGTCAGTGAATGTAATTTTCCAACTTTAGATCCTAATACAGAAATATTAAACAATAATGGCGAAATAATCTCAAATAGTCAACAGGTCGACCATCTCTGATAAATTTGAAAGTGATGTTTAATGAAATAACCATTAAAAATTATTTCAGCACATATGATCTATCCTACTGACTTGCTGTGTTTATGGAATGCTTTAATCCAATCTATATCCCACCAACAGAACGTACAGAGATTTCGAATGATATACACATGTGCCAGGTCCTACATTTTTATGACTGCTAGGATTAGGCAACCGTTTCATTTTATTTTGAGAATGTAGAGATCACTGATACATACTACAAAGGTCCCTTATTGTATTGTGAAAAAATTCCCTAGCAGCTGTAATGTTATCATAGATTTCTAAAACGATAAAAAGTAATGAAGTCTAGTAATCACCTTACATATTTAACTTTTTAAAATAAAAAATTCAAATCTTTTACCAAGTACAGGTGTGTGTACTCAGGCACAATCTGTAATGTGGGTTTATAATAATACTTGGCTGACTTAACAGAACCTATTGATATTCAAATGACTAGCAATTGAACCTATCAATTCTAACGTCTAATAGGTTAGTTAACATAAAGTATACTTACGAACCAATCAACATAGAGGTGGTTATATGGTCAAAGAAGTCAAGTCAGAAGTAGGATTTTCTGTACAAGCTTTCAAAGATTCAACATCGTAATTCTTAATCCAGGGAAAATACCTCGTTCATTTATCTTTGTTGTTTTTCGATGGGCTAGAAAGGGTTAAGTCCTCATGGTCATTCGGTAGTATAGTGTAGAAGATAATTTCTCTATATTTGACTCCAATATATAATATCCCGTTAAATGAGTATTTACGCAGGCCAAATCTCCTACTAGTATTATGAATTTACTCGAGATTATTCAAAAGCCAGAACACCAGTTGTAAGGACAGTGTGTTATTAATAATTGATAAAATCCGCAAGCATGCAGAAAGAAAGCATACAGCAAAAAGTACGTTGAGGAATTCATATATATTTTGAGTGTTGATCGATTGTGGGTAAATTGTTGATTGTCTGTGTTTACAACTAATAATCTTGTATAGTGGGTCAAACGTCCAAATTACAGCAATTAGACAAATAATAGAAATTATTCTATGGGCTTATTGTAATAGTTTATGTCACCGAATCAAAATGTATTAGCACATTGACGTTTCTAACTAAATTCAATTGTAGGTAAATAGTCTTTAAAAACATTAGTTCGCCCTTAATTCGAATTACAAAATAAAATACTTCTAAGTGTGACCACTGTTTTCTCTCTCACTTGAGTGGAGGTCAGTTCGTTGGCACTAGAATACGCACTGAACAATCTTAACATTGCATAGTTGGTACAAATCTGATTACTCCTTATTACAATATATTCTACAGTGTTGGCAGCATTTAAACGAATAAACTAATGTAAGTGATCTAATCATTATTTATAATTTTCGGCTACACTATATTCTCGTTAAGTGTAAAAGCTTTTTGGGGGAAAATTAAAGCTATACATCCACGGTACAAATTAGTCATACACTTACCACAATCCCTATATGGTTCAGAATGTACAAGGCAAACCAACAACAAGTAAACGAACCACGAAGCAACCATAAGGTATTAGATCTATACGTCCAGTCAAATGACGCATTGTTATTTATAGGATTAAACTAGAAGGCCAATTTTAGATAAACCAATCAGAAAGCAGAAACGCCTACGGTACTTGAGTGATAAGGCTTGAAAACCAATAAGAATACGGTATATTCCATTTGCGAAAACATAGGTAGGTCAGGTGATGGACTTGGATAAACATGATTGGTTACTGTCATGTATTACATATTCAGCTTGTAGCTGGTAAAATTGGTTTGATATGCTGAAATGTGTTAGTCGAACAACTTAGTCGTGCGAAGAATATGACCTGGGAACAAATTATACGACCGAAGCTAAGTAGTTACATAATGGTCAAGGTGATGTTAACCAAATAGTCACGAACAGAACACTTTTAAACCAAAACAATGACTTAAAGTAATTAGTCCCTTTGATAACTTTCGATAATGTAATAAGAAGATGAAGATTATCTGAACTGTGATGATATATTATTGTAATACATTTCGAGCAATCTGATCACACACAATACACTTGTTAAGAACATTTAGATTCATATTCAGATTTGAGTAGTAAGGACAAAAGGCCTACGGCCTATGTTATTCCTTTTCTAGTATGTTTCTGTGAACGTCCAGTCTTCTCTTGAAAGAGTCAATTGAAGGTGCGGACACCACTGCTTCAGGCAGTAGGTTCCAAAGTCAATTAGACTGGAGATGGGGTAAGAGGAGACAAGGTTAATAATAAGTGTGAGAATTGACAGAAAGATTACGAGTGTAGTAGTAATGGCATGGCTAATAAAAGTAAAATGATAACATTTATATTATTATGATACAAAGTATTTGAATAATCTGTCTAAATATATAAATAATGAAGGATAAATAAAAAGTAGATAAGCAACTTTTTTTAAAAAATAGGAAGAAATAGATCGTGATCTGGCTTTTGGAGCGAAAGGTTTTAATTCAAAGTCCTATGTAAATATTAACACGAGTTCAGGGACATCCAAATAACCAGTTTCAGATAGGATGAAACATGCAACCTGAATTCTATTATCAAACTGCCTAGAAATTAGTATGATTTTCTGTTAAAATTTCTCAGATCAAGAAAGAACAGGGCAATCGCTAGCTTGTTTTGAACAGAAAAAGTTTTGATGAAAATGGCTAAGAAAAATACTGTAAAGCATTTAGTTATGTCCTTATTCATTAGAATGATTTAATTTCTTTTTCATTTCTGTGATCTATTCTTAGACAAATGTGATTTTCACGTCCCACTTGATCATATAGTGATAAGTAATGAGGATATACAAAACCAAATAGGTAACTTTGCAATTTTAGTAATTAAATGGGCATGAATTATTTATTAATGAATAATTTATTGTATAGCTGCTCATGATTTTACAACAGACTCAAAGAAAGTGTAACAATCCTGTTCCAGTGAAGTACACATACCAACAACCTTGCTATGAATAGGTTAACATTAATTGCACGGCCATAATTGGAAGAAAATGCGCTCTATCGTCAAGTCCTGACATTTCATATCAACCAATTATAACGAACTTAAAACTAGCTATTTGATTGAACGAAACAGAATGAAAATTTTTGACTGAAATCATGAGTCAATTGAAGCTAGACCACCATGGAAAACCTGGAAGCACTAGACGGCCGTTTCATTCTAGTATGGGACTCTTCAGCAGTGGATTGGTTGAGGTAAGACATTAACACCATTGTATGCCAGCTCAGTAGTCTAGTTGGTTAAGCGCCTGGCGCGAAACTGATAGGTTCTGGGTTCAAATCTCGCGGGGTGCGGGATCGTGGATGCGCACTGCTGAGGAGTCCCATACTAGGACGAAACGGCCGACCAGTGCTTCCAGGTTTCCCATGGTGGTTTAGCTACAGTTGTCTCATGATTTCAATCAAAAACTTAACAATCTCCACAACCCCTAAACTGATAGAATGAAAATTATTGGAAGATGGGGATGAAAAAACGTTCACTCGGGAAAAATTTTAATAAATGGCCGTTCAATTAATGTTAACCCTATGAATGGATAAAAAACGCATTTAATAAGTTTCCCTACTCAAAAGAGTGATCAGTTGTTTATATTCTCATTGACGTATAAATGTTTGGATTTCATTCATTTACCTTTATTGTCTTATTGGTTCTAAATGATCATAGTTAATAAACAGTATCTTACATATAAACTCGTGTGCTTACTCGATCACACATGTTTATTCAAATACATATTTACTCTCTTCCTTTTACTGATTTATTTGATATATCCTGGACCCGTTGCTCCAATAAGTTTGAAAGAAATCTCTCCCAAGCTAATTGTATACTTGATTTTTAGATATTTTATGTGAAAATAAATGTAATTATGCTCCTGGGATTCAACTTATATATATATATATATAAACCGCCATTCATAGTCGGAATCAGAAAGAATAGTTTACAACAGAATAAGTTTGTTCAAAAGTTATTGACTCTCATGGAAATGCAATTGTGCATCAAATAAAACATTCTAATTTATATGTTCAAATTCCGAAAGATTTACAGAATGAGATACCGGGAGGACTAATTAAATAGCCATGGAATTGGGGATATATAGCTTGGGGGTTCTCGGAATCAGTAAAACCCACTGGGCTCAAGTTGAACAGAAAAGATTAGATTCTGGACAGATGTTGGTGTAATCTGATCATGAAGAATAAAATGACCCACACACTCAAAGAGTTGATCTTATACTTTCCAAAGAAGCACAAAATACACTTATAGGATAGGAACTTCTTGGATGAAGAATCACCAAACCATCATTCAAAACAAAGAAGGAGGGAATCACAATGGATTTTATCCAGTGCTATGCACCTACCAATGATAACAATGATGATACTAAAGACCAGCTTCACGAGATGCTTCAGTTGATCGCAGAGAAGTGTTCAGGAAAGGACCTGAACATCCTGATGGAGACCTAAACGCCAAAGTCGGAATAGAGTATGAAGACAACATGGAAGGAACGAGAATGGCCAATCTATTTGCATTTAAAAAAATTGTTATAAGCGGCATTGTATTGCCAAAAAAAACACTAAAGAACACATTACTTCAGGAAATTAAGGTTTATGTCAAAAGAATAGATAGCATTTGGGAATACCTGGAAAGGACTGTCCAGGACAGAGTTGGTTGGCACAATATTCCCTTACAAACACATACACAAAGCTACATGGGTCTCACCGGACCAAAACAAATAGAACCAGATAGATCATATCTGCTTCAGTAAAAAATTCAGAAGGATATTAAATCACATGAGAACCAAGGGAGAAGCTAACATAGCTTCAGATCACCACTTGGTTGTGGCTAAAATGAAAGTGAAGCTAAAGAAGGATTGGACAGCTGAAGAAACGGCATTACAAAGGCCCAATACATACTTCGCACGAGATATTAACAAACTCAACGAATTCAAGATAACTCTCAACAACATTTTCCTCGTCTTACAACATCTTTTAAAAGAATATGAAACTACTATGGAGGATAACTAGAAAGGGATCAAAGTAGCACTAACTTAAACGTGTCAGGAGGTTCCGGGTCACAACGAGCATCATAATAAAGAATAGATCTCTATTGAGACTCTGGACAAGATTCGAAAAAGAGAGAACAAGAAAACAGCAATTAACAAAAGTCGAACAAGAACAAAGAAAGTCAAGGCACAAGCTGAATACATAGAAGCAAACAAGCAAGTGAGGGGGAGCATCAGAGCTGACAAGCAGAAATGTGTAGAAGGTTTAGCAATGACAGCGGGAAAGCTTCAAGAGAATGAAATAAGAAACAACTATATGACACGATGAAGAAACTGGTAAGGGAATATAGTAAACCGGAGTGAATGATCAAGAAGGTAATTCAATCACTGAGATTCAAGATCAAAGAAACATCTAGGTAGAATAATTTGAAGAACTCTTGAATAGGTCAACTCCATTGAATCAACCGGACATCAAAGCAACACTTTCAGACCTTCCTGTAGACGTCATTCCACCAACAATCGAAGAAATCAGGATGGTCGGTCATCAGACAAATCAAGAGTGGGATCAGTTGTACCAATCAAATCACGACACTACAGATCGTTGGTGAACAGTCGACCGAGTGAACTCGTCACTATACATCCACATCCTTGATAGTGTGGATAGGTGAACCTTATGGAACTTTCTTCGACACTATGGTGTACTTGAGAAGGTCATCAACATCATGAACAATTTGTACGACGGACTACGCTGAAAAGTCATATATAGAAGACAGACGACAGTTACATTCCAAGTGAGAACCGTTATCGAACCATCGAAAGCTTGGATGTTGCTAGACAATTTGGACTTCGCAGATCACCTAGCTCTTCTATCACACACACACACACCAAGAAATGCAGGTGATGACAACTAATGTAGCAGCAGCCTCTGCATCACTAACCCTCAACATACATAAGGCAAGAACCAAGATCCTCAAATACAACACGGAGAACATCAACCCAATCACACTTGATGGAGAAACTCTGGAAGATGTGGGATGTTCCAAATATCTGGACAGCAGCATCATTGATGAACAAGAAGCATCCTATGCAGACGTAAAGGCGAGGGTTGGCAAGACAAGATAGTTTTACTGTACTGGGCTGAAACTCGGAAAACTACCAAGACCATCATCAAAGATGCACAAGTATTTATAAACGATTATCTACACAATATACTCAATGTTGATTGACCTGATACTATCAGCGACAACCCACTGTGTGAGAGGACAAACCGGCTTCCAATTGAAGAGGAAATTAGGAAAAGACTCTGGAAGGTGGATAATAGATACATTGTTGACACCATCAAACTGCATCACGAAGTATTCACTAACTTGGAATCATGAAGGGGAACTGAGAAGAGGAATAAGAACGAACACATTACGTCGGGAATTCTAAGCAGATATGGAAAGAATGAATAGCAACTGGAAAGGATTATCAAGGACAGAGTTGTCTGGAAAATGCTTGTGGTCGGCCTATACTCATCCACGATGG